ATCTTGCGAATACTGCTATGAGTGTAAATGCAGCTGTAGAGGTGCCAACAAGTGCCTTATGGACAAACTCGTTCCTCCTGCTTGCCCTGGCATGGGTTTTCTAGGGGCATCCCTGGTCAGAGAATAACCAGGGAGGCAGGATGACGCAAGCAAAGCCAACACCAAGCTTTTGCTGTAAAACCCACCCGAGGGCACAGTGTGTCCAGGAATGAAGAAGTAAGTGGTGCTACTGCGCTCCTCCTCCTCCAGGGAGGGAGAGCATAGTCTAAGCTGGAAAGAGTCTAACAACTTGACAGCCAGGGATTTGGATCCACAAGCAGATAGGACTTGCTCAGAGGCTAGTTAGCACAGTCTAGCCCAGTTCCAAACACAAATACACATTGATTTATCCTTTTCTTCTGCACTGTGAAGCCCACAACTCCAAAGCAGCAATCTGCACTGTGTCAGCCTTGTCAGAAAGCAGGACTGACACACAGGTCATATGCTGCAAAGCCTCTGAGTAGAGAAGCAGACACTGCAGGGAGAGGAGCCACTGCTCCTTCAAGAGCTTACTGCTTGGATGATGCTTTTGCCCTCCCCTTAAAAAAACACTTAAACCTTTAGGTTACATTTCCTTTGACGCAGAAAGGCCCAAATCTTTTGGTGAGTGTGCAATATGAACCCCAGGCAGGGCTTGAAGGCAGCTTGGGGGCACTGGCATTCAGCACCCTCCCCCCTCCTACCCTCCCCGTCTGTGCCGTGCAGACGGGATGGAGTTTCCCCTTCTTTACACAAACTTGGGATCTTCTTTCAGCTATTGCTTTTTCTTTTTTTTGTATTGATTTTTAAAAGGGGGCACTGCAGCTTTAAAGAGCTTCCCAGACTTGCCTTTGTGACCGGAGGAGAGGGTGGGGTGGTGGCGGAGGTGGGGACCCAGAAGAATGAAATAAAGAGAAGTACAACAAAAAGAAGTTAAAAGTGTGAGTGACAAGTTTTCGGCAACAGGCTTCGGCCCCTGTGGGGTCGTTTGGGCGAAGAATGGCAACAAATGAACAAATGAGCTGGATTTTCATGCTTGGTGGACAGTGAATGAATAAGCATCTTTTAAAACCCTATCAGGAACTCTTTGGATTGTCATTATAGCTGGGAGGAGGGGGGAAAGGCAGACTTTTGAGGGCTGACCATGTGAAAGAATCCCGATTCTTTGCCTTTTCTCTGCCGTGAGTGTGGCTACACCAAAATGTGCTGGCAGTGCAGGAGGACAGGCGTGCAGCCACAGCTGAGCATCCTGCCACGTCCCTGCACAGGAGCATTTCTGGGGGACTCCAGGGCACCCTGATGTAAGTTGGAAGAGGCAAGAGGGTCTGCTCTGATTGCAGGATGCCCAATGATTCCCAGCGGCATGGAGGGGACAGGCAGTGGTTAGCAGCCCTGACTGCCTCGTCTGCCAGAAAACTTGATTGCAATGTCAGAGGCAGACAATGTGAGAGGGCAGGAGGCAAGTCACTTAAAGCCATATTTAGAGTGCAGGGTGGAGGTCTGAGGTCAAAGGAATTGCCCTGGGATTATGGGAATCACCTTCATTTTCTCCATAGTCTTCAGACATGAGGGAGCCGGCCAAGAGCAAGAAGGAGGGGGATGAGTTTGTCACTGAGGAAAGGACCCTGATGTTCCCCCTTCCCTGGCCCTGACAATGAGCATGGCCTCTCTGGGCCATGCAAACCATTTACAGGCTCTGTTTTTAACTGTTTATTATCCTCAATCCCCTTTAACCTTGACCAGAGTGTTGGTGAGGCAGCTGCAGGAGGCTCTGCTTCAGAGGCATAGCCAGAGTTCACTGAATATCCCTACATCTAGGGTTCAGCAGTAAGACACAGATACAGAGAAGAAAACCTAAAACTGAGTGTTGGGGGCATGGAAACATCAGCTTGTAGTGAGGGAGTTTCCTCTGGCTGTAAAAATAAAAGCTGAGTCCACCTTGCATGGGATTTCAGCAACCAAATGTGGCAGAACCCTGTCTAAGTTTGTTTTCAACCTGTTGCTTGCACGTATGCAAGGGCACAAGCCTCTGTCTCTGAAACGCTCGTGGTCCCAGCAGCCACCTGTTTCTTCCACATCAAAAAGTCCCTAGGCCATTACAGCATCCATGGTTATAAAGGCCAGGCACTGGCTCTGGGACAGCCCCGTCAAGAGAAATGAGACCATCATGCACTAAACATAGAGAAAAGATAAATGGAAAAGGAGTCTTTCAGTCTTCATTATCAAGTTTCCATGGGTTTGCCAAAACCATAGCAACCAGTTCAAGCAATGATTAACCTAATAATGTGGAGGCAAAGAAAAAAAGAGGGGAAAAAAAAGCATTCAAGCTCCTAAAGAAGTCACTAGTTCTCCAGAGGTAGTAAATCCGCCTGCCCGCCCCCCCACCCCAGAATCCCCCTTCCCCCTCCCCCCCCCCCCCCAGCATTTAGGCTCATGGCTGGAAGACCAGAAGCACCCTAAGCCTCCAGAGAAAAGAATCTGCAATGCAGTAAACCCCACTGAAGTGACCACTTTCCAAAAATACAGCTGTGCAGACATCCTTTTGAACTTTTGTAATATCTGCTCTTATTGGGGCTCTCAGGCTCTTCTTGCCTCTTTTCTTGCCTATAGAGATACTGAGCTCCCTCTCACAATTTTGTTGGGTTTTTTGGTTTGTTTTTTTGGTTTGTTTTGTTTTTTGCAAAAAAGCTACTTTTGTAGACTGAGTGTTTGCAACCCTCCTCAGTCCGGCAGCACACACAGATAGTTAGGGCAAGGTGATAACTCCCATAGGGAGATACCAGAGTGGAGCTGGACTAGAAGGGAAAACATTAAATGATTTTATCACCCAAGTAATCACAGTGTTTCTCCTGTGGCCACACACAGAGGCCTTGAAGCACTCTGCAGACTGTTAGAGTATGAAAACAATACGCAATTCAGCCAGAGAAGGGGGGAAGGGGGAGGGATACTATTAGGTCTTTCATTCTGCCTATCTGATCTACGACACAGATAGATCACGTTCAGGACTATAACAGTCCACACAGAGATAGGCACACACAGCCTTTTCCTAGTCCTCAGCCTTGCCCCATGGCCTGTGTTTCACCAGAAATGTGGGTATTTCTTCTCAAAGCAATGAATAGGCGAAGTAGTGGTGCTCTGTATGGATGAACGGGTCCCAAGATGCAGCAGAAGGAGCATATCTCCCAAAAAGGTCAAGAAGGAATTGACACCTGCTTGCCTTGCTCGTCAGCACTGGCACCATGATGCCCTCAGTCCCTTCCTCAGGTGCATGGGGCACCTGCAGCTTTCTCTGTGGGACAGTTCATTGACTGAGGCTGGATCAACTGCAGAAGAAGAGATCACTGCTTCTCCAAAATCCACCAAGCCCATGTGTCTTCTGAGCTGCAAAGTGTCTTCTTAGCACCAGGGCCAATCTGACCTCTCCCTTCACCACAGAACTAGGCAATGTTGCTCACAGCCCACCTGCATGCACAGCACTCCGCAGCTAGCCTGAGAAGGCTGAGTCCAGCAAGTCTGAGCAGAGATGCATAGGGCGGGGGTTCGCACCGGCGGGGGTCCGCACCTGGGGAGATTCCTCATGACCCCGCTCCCCTCCGGGGCAGACTCCGAAGGATAAACCCAGACTGGGGTAAAGTGGAAGAGGCAGCGGAGCACAGAGGCTTGGGGCAGGGGAAGCCCTGGCCCTGCCCGGCCGCCGCCTTTCAGCACCATGGCCAGAGCCCGCGGCGCAAGTGCGGGACTGAGCGCTGGGGCCCTTCCGCGCACGGCTCCGCGCATCGCGCACTGCTCCGCGCATCGGCCATCACCCAAGCGCTCCTCACTCCAGTGGTTCACCTCCACCCGAGCTCACCCCAGGGCTCCGTGGAAGCGGGAGCTGCACGGAGGAGGGTGAGGGGAAGTGAAGGCGGTGCCGAGCGGTCGCCCCCAGGTCGGCGGGACGGGGGATGGACGGCAGGATAAGGCCCCCGGGATCCCGCACCCGGTCAGGTTTCACTCTCGCCTCTTTTGTTGTGGTGCTGAAGAGGGGTCTTAGGGGTGTTTGTGCGTGCGTCTTTTTTTCCAGTAACCAAATTTCTTTTGTTCTACAAATTGCCTCAATAGCGTCTCTTTGCCGTGGGCAAACGGGCTCAGCTGAGAACAATTAGCATCACAATGGGCTTTTGGCCTCGCGGGCCGCTTTGTCTAGCGACTGCTGCCCCGCTGGGGCAGCGCGGAGAGGGGAGGCAGCCCGGCCGTAAATCTACCAGCTACAAATTGAGTCCCTAGGAGGAAAGGACCAGGAAGGGCTCGCGGGATTTATGCGGCTTCTCATCCCTTCTTTCCCTGGCATGGGAGGTACTGCGCTTCCCACCTCCCGTGCCTGCTCTGGCTAAACCCTCCCCCGGCGAGGATGGGGGCTGCCTGGGGCAACGCTGCCCGGGAGCGCTGTGTCCTGGGGACATCCCCAGACTAGCCCCAGGGCCGAGCCTGACACTCAAAATCCATTTGAGTGGGGAGGCTAAACCAGCTGCAGGTTCACCTTGCCGGGACGCGGCGGGCAGAACAGGGCGGATGCACGGCGGGAAGCGGCATCACACGGGCCGGCTGCAACCTTGCGGGACACTGCGGCTGCAAAAAGAGGCCGGTTTAAATGCACACGTGGACCCCGACGGGCACACACCTGCGTGCGCACAAGTTCAGGACTCGCTGCGCAGCTCTCCATCGCTGCTCCTCTGTACGCATGGCACATGGCCCCAGCACCGGGCACAGCGCCTGGGTCCCCACTGAAGGCTCCGCAGGGCAGGCACTGCCTGCCCCGGCACGGGCTGCGCGGGATTTAGACACCCCCTCCAAGAGTCCTTGGTGGAGAAGACACGGTGTTGCACAGGTCTGACCAGGACACACTTTATTCTCTTCTTCAAAATTCAAGCCCAAACCAACAAACTCAAAACAGCCGCTGCTGCCCTTCCAGATACAAACAGCTGGACCACCGCTGCCAAAAATACTCTTATGTACAAAATACATATTTGTTACTAAATATAACCAATAAATACCAATAGTGACAAATTAATATAATTTACCGATTCCGTGTACAAAGCCGCGATTTGCTTTTGTCCGCCCGCTGCCGCTGCGCTCCAGCCAAGCGGGACGGGGTAGCGGGCACAGGAGCGGCCGCCCGCCCCCCGGCGCGCAGCGCGGGGAGCCCACCCTCCGCTCCGCCAGCGATTTGAAGGCCAAAAGAGGGGGGAAAGCAGCCGGGCGGCCGGCTCAGACGAAGGCAGGGAAAGCGGCGGGGCCGCGGCGCAGGGTGGGGGGCGGAGGAGCGGCGGGGCAGGCCGAGTCCCAGGGCCCGGGGGATGCGGCGGCGGCGGCGGGGGGCGGTGGCGGGGGAGGCTCGGGAAGGCCCTGCTCGGCCAGGCGGAGGCTCTGGGTCAGCGCCCAGATGTAGTTGTGGGCGAAGCGGAGGGTCTCTATCTTGGTGAGTTTGGCGTCGTCGGGGAAGGTGGGAAGGACGCTGCGGAGCGCGTCCAGGGCGGAGTTGAGGTGATGCATGCGGTTCCTCTCCCGGTCGTTGGCCTTCATGCGCCGGCTCCTCTTCTGCTTGCTGAGCAGCCCTTCGCTCCGTGCCTTCCCGCGACCCCGTCGCGCCTTCCCCTTCCTGCGGACCGCCGTCTCCCGCGGGGTCAGGGGGGTGCGGGCCGGCGAGGCACCCCTGCTGCTCGCTGAGCTGCCGCCGGGCGCGGAGGGAGGGTCCTCAGCGCCACCGAAATAGGGCTGCACTTCACCCGGCGAGCGGTCACTTTGCGGAGCCATCCTGCGAAGGGAGCCAAGCCTGCTTTAACCGACGGGGAGCGGCACTGCGGCCGGAGGAAGAAAGCCCTCTGCCCTGCGGGTGTACCTGTTAAGCCCGGGCGAGTCTGCGGGGCAGGAGAGCGGCTTTTGCTCCGAACACCCCGCTCCCCCCTCCTCACTTTCCCCGGAGCGTGGGCAGGAAAGGTTGCGCGGTCGGCACACGACTGCCGTTAAGCCCCTATATATATAGGGCAGGCAGACAATGCGGATTTCCCGTCCGGGCGGCGTGTGCGCCCCCCCGCCAGCACCCACCCCTTGGCACGCTTTTATCTTATCAGCCCACGGAAGCGTGCCGAGCCCGGCGCCGCCCGCCCCCCGGCCCTGCCAGAGCCCACCGGCTCCCACGCCGCCCCCTTCCCCCGGGCCAGCCCCTGCCCGCCCTCGCCAGGGCTCGGGCAGAGCCCCGACCCCGAGTTGCGCCCCCACCGGGACTCCGCGGTGACCGTGGAGGGAGTCGGGGCGGGCGGCCCTTGCCCAGGGCTCTAGCGGTGACAGGGATCTCCCGAGGATTCGGCTGCGCGAAGTGGGTCAGGCCCGGGTCCCGCGCCTCGGAATGCTGGGGCCGTACAGTCCGAACAGTCGGGGTCTCCCTCTGTGCCAGCCGTGGGAGGTACCGTCGGCCCCATTCCGGCTCCTCTCGGCTCGGCGGCAGAGCAACAAAGCGCCTCTCGCTGCCCCGGCGCTACGGGACGCTCCCGGGACCCTCCTCCGACCCCGGGGGGGAGCGAAAGGACCCCGCCGCCTCCCGGGACCCCTCTTTACGGCCCCGCAAGGCCATGGACGGACCCACGCCCCGGGTACCGATCGCGAGTTGCCTTGCTAGCGGAGAGCGCCAGCACGGGGGGGCGAGCGGGACCCCGTTCTCCAGCCCCCCCACCTCTGTGTCTTTGCTCCCCCCGGGGAATCGGGGCCTGGGTCCCGCAGAGGAAGAGCCCGGCAGCAGCCCCCGGCTACCCCCGCCCTACTTAACCCGGCGCTGGGCCCGGGGAGGGCAGCCCTGCCTCCAGGGATCGGTGCGCAAAAAGTGCCAGGAACTTTTGCGCACTGGCTGCGGCGGGCTGCGGGGACATGGCCAGGCCTGGGACACCGTTCCCCGGCGGAGGGCAGGGAGCCGGGAGCTGCGGGGCCGACCCTCCCCTGTACGGCCCGGCATACCCGGGGGTGCGGGCAGGGTCACCAGGTAGGCGCAGCCCCGGCGGGGCCGGAGCCCCCTGCTACTTCACCAAAGTGTCTGCGGATCCCGGAGGGGGACACCGGCTCTAGGAGTGGCCGGAGCTGTCCGCTCGGGCCGCAGCAAAGCGGGGGGCAGCTACACCGACCGGACCCGGACCCCTGTCCCGCGGGGCGGCCGCAGCCGGCGCGGTGTGGTGCGAGGCAGTGCGGGGCGGTGCGATGCGATGCGATGCGCGCTGTCTCTCCATAGGCGCGTCGCGGCGGGCGGGCGGCTCCGCTTCTCTGCGGCGGCGGCGCTGAGAGGGCGGGGGAGTGGGGCCGAGGGGGGCCGGCCCCCGCGGCGACTCGGGCGCCCCTTCTTGAGGGGCGGCTCGCAGGGCAGGGGAGGATGAATAGGAAGGGCCCGGCAGGGTTTTTTTTGTGCCTGTGCAATTGGATGACAAAAAAATCTGGCGAGCGAGTTTCCAAGCCTCAGACTGCCCACTTCAAACGTCCTTCAAACAAAAGCTGAAGAGGAAAAGAAAGCCCCACCTGGTACCGCTGTTTGCTAAAATAATAATAAATAGATTTCGTTTAATAAATAATTACAAGAGATTGTAAAGTGGAGTGCTTTGGGAAGCATTAATCATGGGACTGGGGGCAGACATCACCTGCTGGCAAACAAGACAACTTTATTGTTAAATCACCTTCCCACTGCCACTTTCCGATAACTCCCTCCCGTCGCCACAAAGCCCGGCCGGGTATGTTTACTCATGGTTAGCATAACAAGCACCATATTACCACAAATGTGATAAAAATCTACGGGGGTACTGCAACGGGCTCCCGCTCACACCTGGCCAGGGCGCCCCGACGCGAAGCTGGCACCCAACGGCCCTTCCAGGAGGGGCCCTTCTGCCGTTTACATTGGCCTAGTTTGTGCTGATTTATAACAGGTTTACTGCAATCCCTATCTCCCGGCCCTATTTGTCTTATTTTATTGAAAACATATGGTAACCAGTCCAGCTCCGGCGCATCTCTCGCCTGCCAGGCGTCTGGGACGCTTTGCGAGTCGGGTCCCGGCCGCAGCCCGCCTGCCCGACAGGGGCTGTTTGCTCAGGAGAGGGGCGGGCAGATAAGATCGGGCCCGCTCTCTATCACTCTGCACCAGGGCCGGGGGTCCACTGGCCACTCTGCGCCCCCCGTCTGCCCTGGGTCCGCTGGTGCGCTCCCGTGCCTCTTCCCGGCTGGGTCGCTGCGGCAGCGACGAACGCACGGCGGAGACACCTGCGGTGTGGCCGGCCTTTCCTTCGTTCCCCCGCCGCTCCGCGGCCGGGGCTGCTCAGGAGGTACCGTGATTTGCGGTGCCATATGTCGAGCGGCTCGGCGGAGCGCAGCCCTTCAGAGCCGGAGCAGCTGCTTCCTCGGCCCTACCTACCCGGCGCATAATACCTGGGAGCCGCAGCCCCGCGTCCCCCTTTGAGAGGGCAGCGCGGCTGGGCCGGCTCCTCGCCTCTGTTTTGTGACTTTATTGTGGCGCCCAACAGATGCACGCCTGCCCCTCCTGCCCCTCGGCCCGGTGCGAGAGCTGTGCTCGGGACACAAGTAGCACAGATGCCAGGCGCAAGGTGCACCAGATGCCCCCCTTTGTGAATTCAAACAATATTTCTCCCTTCCTCCCCCCTCGCTCCTCTTCCTATAAGAGGGAAAGGAGAAGGGGCTCGACAAGAAAATAGATCTAAAAAAAAAAAAGAAAATAGGACAAGAAAGGCAAGTCCTGGGAAGCTGCGCTGCGAGCGCGTCCCCTGGAACAGCCCGAAGGTGCGCACCGCCAGGCGCAGCGCCGCGGCCTCGGGAGGGAGCTGGCCCCGGGCAGGGAGAGCTCAGCGCCGCGGGGACACCCCGTCGCGACCCCGGGGAGAGCGGAAGGGGACCGGCGGTGCCCGCCGGCGAGGAAGGATCACCCCCGGGAAGTCATTAATTACCCGGCGAGCACTGAGCAAGCGGCTTCCTGGGGCCGAGAACGGGCAGAGCAGCAAAGGCTGCTTGGGAAAAGGATGGCAAAGCCCATTTCACCATGCTAAATCTTCCCATCTTTTGTGTCCAGGGTCCGGTACAAGAGAAAGAGAGCAACTAGTACATGCAGTGAGGGCTTGGCTAGCAAAAGCTCTCCTCGTGTGGGCCAGGGCTACCAGAAAGGATGTCCTCCCCTTTGGTGTCTCTCGCCATGGAGGCAGTGAGCTCTGCTCGAGGCAGAAGGGGCTGTGCAAGGAGAAACCTCTGCCCAGGGTTAGAGCCATGGACAGGACTGGCACAAATCCCACTAGCTGCAAATACCACCCCCCTCCATAACAAACCAGCAGCCCTTGCTGTTCCTGTGCTGCAGAAATCTGTTTCAAAGCCCTGACCCATGCCAGGGCTGATGGGTTTTCCTTTAGCTCCACTGAAAGCTGGGTTCTGCACCTCACATGCTCTGACTTACAAGAGCTGAGGGCTAAGGCTACTCAGAGGCAGGAAAAGTCCAACAGAGCCCTGGGGTAAAGGATGCTATCACTGCCCCAGAAGAGGAGAAGCCCTGATATAGTACACAGGGAAAAGAAAGCCCAAGTTTTCAGTGTGCAAACCCACTCTACAGTAAACCTCCCTCCATGCTTATGTGCCCTTAAAACACAGCCCGACAGGAGATGGCTTTATAAGGCTGCAAAAGCAGACAGCAATTCTAACAGTGAAACATATTTTGGGTCAGAATTCAACAGTCATGAGCATAGCAAAAACCTGCATTATCTCTGGATAGGACAGGAGAAAGGAAAAGAAATACCATGGGAAGGAAAGACAGGGAATGAATATCTAGTACAAAAAAGGTCAGTCAGATACTGGGGTGTGATGCCTACAGGTGGGTGCTGTGAAATCTGTTACCTTAAAGTATTTATTCAGCCATCCAAATATCATCCCAGGTAGGGAAGGATGGTCCTCACCTGTCTGGGAATTGGTCACCTCCAGTCATTCCCAGCTCTGCCAGTCTTGATATCCTCTTGGCTTATGACATGTAGTTCCTTGCCTCAGCCTGTTTCACCTGCCAGAAAAGAGGGTTTCTCCTCTACTGTGATGAAAGCATGGGCAGACAGGATAGGTTATACATCCAGCACACTCTCTCATTCAGTATTTCTAAGTGTTTTAAAGCTTTACAGCAAGTTTCTGGCAAGATCTCACAGAAGCCACCACCACTACAACATGGTTGAATGAAACACAATGGGGACTTAGCAGGTGTTCAAGCAAACGTCCATCTTTAACTCATCTGCAGCATCACTGGTCCAAAGTGTGCCACTTCTTGTGTATCTGCCTGCATGGAAATCTCTAAGAATAACTGTAATTAGAAATCTACTGTCTCCACAGGTACAATTCAACAGCTTTCATGGCAGGATATCTCCAGCACATGGACTGGCTGGCAATGGTCATCTTCAGTTACCAGATGGGAAACACAGAAACACAGACTTGAGGCTTCAGTATTCATTTACACCAACCCTCCTTTGGCCATTCATAAATAATCATGGATCATGGATATGCTGATCTCAGACTGCCATCTTCTTTCCATGGTGCTGGACCACTGCTCAAGCCAAACCGCTGGTGGCAGAAGGCATGCAACTCAAACGTGTGGCAGGAATACTTTGCCTGCTGCAAAGTATCCCTCCTCACCCACTTTCCTCTGTCCCAGCCTCACCATTCCCTGGCTCCCATCCCTGTGTCTTCATGCCCCTCTCCTCGCACACCTTGCACTATGTCGCAGCCAAGCAGACTCTGTACCCCATCCCAGTTTT